ATATATATATATATATATATATATATATATTCACAATCATACCTGCCCTGCTTCAAATAAATTAAAAAAACAATATTAGTTCCGTTACCATTAGAGGGCTCGTAGCCTTGCAACTTTCATGAACATATTCCGTACCGTATGAGACCGTATATATTACATCAGCTATACTACACATACGTATTCCGTAGACTGTAAGTTCTTAACCGCATGCTTCTTCCCTGAAGATTCCCTGTACTAATCTGTACAGCAAGAAGACGACCCTTGTGAGGCCAGCATTTTATTGTTCCATGTTTAATCTATTTTAATTTCAAATGGACGGTTAAGATGGCGGGAGATTTGCCGTAGGGTATATCTGAACCGTCAATTGATACAAGGAATTTAAGTTTTTTACTTCATTCCACAATATATCACGAGTTTCTAACTTTCAGGCGTCTGATGGTTTTACTTGAAATCCCAAATATCTCTGCAAATTCTTAAAAAGCTTCTCTATGTATGTGACCACAAATAAGTTTTCAGAAAATTACAATGAAAACTGAGCTTTTAAATGCATTTTTTTAAGATAAATGGTGAAAATGGAGCTTTAATGTTCTTAAGATCTAAGAAGAGCTTTAATGTTCTTAAGTGCTTTAATGTTCTAACGATCCAAGGAGAGCTTTAATGTTCTTCAGATCTGAGAATACTTACCAGAATCGTAACGGAATTTGCAATGAATTTCAGAAGAACTTTGAATAACTGCTATATTCCATTATTAGTGAAAGCAACAAAAACTCATCTACTATTTATGTAGAATTTCTGAAGAAATTAATAGCAATTTCACTTCTCACTGTTTCTCCATATCTAGGTCAAACTAGCCGTACTCCTCTCTGAACCATCTCTGAGAAAAATTACTTCAGCTTTTCTAATGCCCAGAAGCTTCGCATTGCCTTTTAAAACTTGTCCTCGAAATTTCAGAGAAAAGACGCTTTACAATCATGATTTCTACTGCAAACTACCGTTAATTCACGCACATTTCACAAGGATTTTCTGATAGTTTCACAAATCAACATCAAAATTTGCAGAGATCTGCAAAACTAGCAGGTCAATTCGTTACTGTTTCAAAATTGCTCGCTAAGTAAAACACATTTCCACACAAAATTGAAGAGGATTGAAACGCAAAAATGCTTTTGCAGTGAATTCATACAAAGCATATAAATGAAAAATGTCTTTTATATGTGACGAAATGCATAAAAGGGCAAAGTATAATACCTTAAAAATACGGTCCCAAAGAGAGAGAGCGTGTTCCTCTGAATTATTTAATGCTTTGAGAGCTTTTCTCTGCAACTTCTCAGAGAGATTCCTTAGAGGGAAAAGATTTACAGCGATGCAGAAGAAAGACTGAAAAAGCTTCTGGTTATATAATTACTTGAGCCTATTAAATGCCATTACGTTTTCTCAAAAATATCGGCTAAGCCCCGTGCTTTGGATTCCCAGATTCGAAGGCCAGATTCTGCGCACTGAAGAAGACGACTCAGAGATTCGTAAAAGAACTGTCATGTAATTTCCTTAAAATCAGGGGAATCAGGTGCTCTTTTGGTAACCATAGTTTGTTGATAACCGATTTTAGCGTGCCCGGAATTTATGCGGAATTAACGGTTGATTTTGGATGCCAACTGTCTTCATGACTTTCACAAGCCGAAAGGCAACGAAATTTCGGCGCCGCAATCTACTGGAACTTTTGGACTCTCCGTCAAGAATAACGCTGTAGTTACTGTTTCTTCCCAAAAAGACGGTTTTCAGTTTGGCAGAAGGAAATTTTTTGAATATTTCGGCTCGTTTCAGCTGATTTCAGCAGTTAAAGTAATCGTCCAGACCACCGGAATGCGGCACGTTTCAGTTGATTTCGGCCATGTTTCGGCTAGGGGCATTGTGTAATATCTTTATAAGACGAGGGCTTTTAGATGTTGGCTTGCTAATTATATGGAAGGACACCGGGAGTGGAGAAAAGCTGGAGCTTGCGGTTGGCGCGGGGCCCGTCTTCGCGTCGCTTTCGTGTAGAGCGGGGGCGATTTGGTGTGTGGAACCACAAGAGAAGAGTGGTTACATTGCATATTCTCCTCGTCTAACAAATTACATATATGCCCTACTCTTTTTTTTATGACAGAAATACCCTCTCTCTCTCTCTATTTCTCTCATCCTGTATCCTCCCTTTCTTTTCTTTTTTTCCTTTTTTTTTTTGTTCTTTTAGATTTGTGGCCGTTGTTCTTTTGCCATTTGTGGCCTTTGCAGTTAAGTGAGAAATGTTTATGGATTTATTGCACGAAAATAATGTTCTTCTGGAACCTCTCATTGGGTCACCGTCGGGTTTTTTTTCCTTTAAGATTGAAGTTGACTATTAATGCTGGCTATTTAAGTTGTACAATTAAATCTTATCACTCTGCCGTTTCAAAAAATAAATAAATCTTACAATTCAGCCACCATAGGCGCACCTTCAAATTGTCCTAATGGTCCTGAAGTATGTTGTTTTAGTCTTTGAAATATTTTTTATGATATGAAGATTTATTTTTATTTTTAATTATAAAATTTAAATATTCAAAAATAATATGGATCAAGGATATTTATAAGGAAAATTGTTTCATGCGGTCCGGCCTGCATGACTGCATAAACAGCCCAAAAAGTGTAAAGCATTCATTTTAAAGATGGATGCAAGTAGGTGTTCCATCTAAAAACAATAGAAACTAACAGTCCAAATGTTTTCTTACTAAAATTATTATTTCTAGTTTTTTAAATTTGCTTATTTTTTATATTCATCTCCATGTTAGATATTACATGTGATTAAAAATTAAGTCCAAAAATCCATCTCAAAAATAGATTTATTAATAGGTCTGCATTTCTATATATGTTGGCTTGATCGTATAGAAACTGGATCTTATTTATAAACACTCGAAAAACTTGAAAATTAACAGCCTAGACAATACATCAAAAAATGCATTATTTATAAGACTTGAAATCTATTTTTTCTCATATCGACAAATCTTGAGGTTGAGACGATCAAATTGAGGGTTTTTCAGCAGTGTGAATTTTTAAAACATGGCTTAATTTGATTGTTTAGGGCCTTACCCTGTATACACTTTTTAGCTTTTCCTTTTGGAAAATATCAAATAAAGGGTTAAATTAAATAAGCATGTGTGCGTGTTTTTTTCTCTAAACATCATTGTCCCCTAAGAAAATCTCATAGAAAATGACCAAATCACCACTATTCATGATTAAGAACCCAAAAAAGCAAAGGGCATTTTCATAATTTTACGCCTACTTAATTGGCCAGAACCAAATGATGAAAACGCTTTATAGGGAACTACCAAATGACGAAAGTATCTCAATTGTTTGAGATTAGCACGAAAGCAATTTTTTTCTTTTTTTTCTTTTTTTTTCCTTTTTTGGTTATGAGATCTTATTCCACATTGCCAAAGATGATGAATTACATTTATTTTTAGCTTTTGCTCTACTCAAGTGAATTGGGCGCAATTAAAATTATCAAAATACCCTTATTTGTTCAAAATTCTCTCTACTAAACTCAAATTTTATCTTTCAAAATATTTAAAAAAAAGTACGCAAGTCGTGATCACAAGCACACTACTCTTACCGTTAACTAGGATGATAGGACACCTTCATGGCCTGTAGAGTGACTTAACCTTTAAAATGATATTCTCCCTTTCGTTTCCAGCGACCTTCATGCGACAGAAGCAAAAGTACCAAACTAAAAAAGTACTAAGCCGCTCAAATAGAAAAGGACAAAGATCACATGTTCCAGCTTCTCTCTCATTGAGTGGGGACCAATTGTATCGTGCTCAAAAGTTCAGTAAAATTCTCCACAACGCTGAACCTTTTTTCTTTTTGTAGCCTTTTAACTGTTTCCTCAATGTTTACTTTTACATAAACTTCTACAAAATACCTACCAAGGAACTAGGATTTCCATCAGGTCTAGAATCCCTCTTAAATCACAAATTTATCGCTATTTGGATGAACCTGTGACAAGATCCTAATTGAGTTCTTGTCACAAATTTTCTCCCCCTGTTTCCTTTTCTTGTCCACTTCGATGTAGCTCGTCACACGGTTTCATACATCCATTGAACATTACTTCAGTTTCTTGGCCTTCTAATTTTTGGATCATCCAATTTGTTTCCTTTCCCTACATTATTGCATTTTGTGCAATGGCCTTTCTTTGTTGTCGTTCTGATTTTGCTTTCTAATTGATACCTTCTTCATATATATATATGTCTGAAAGTGCCCCTCCCCTGTGGCCCATTTCCACAGACCGAAAGAATATTCAATCAATGGGAAATCCATTCCCCACCTAATTGTCACTTATTTTCTGAACAACTCATGCAAAGAAATGTAAGCATAGCAATTCTATCACCAGGATTTTCACCAAACAATCGGAGACCTTTATTTAACAATTGGGAGGAGAACAGAAAAACCCCACCATGAATCTTACTCTCTTAGTGTCTTGATGTTAGGTGATCCTTGCTTTAAAAAGAATGTGAGCTACTGTTTGATGTTGTTTGGGAGGTTCTTAAACCAGGGTCACTCTCTCTCTCCTCTCTGCCACAAGATTCTGATCGGATGCGTGGGTTTTGTCTCTCAAGTGGGAAAACACGATGCAAAAATCTTTGTATCATTTCATAACTTACAAAAGTAATGACAGCAGCTGGGGTTGTTCTCAGTAGGTTAGTGGCACATCCACGGTAGAAGCCTGCCATGCCTTCTTTGTGGTATACTTTTTTTATGCAGTCAATGACTCCTGTGTAGTGGGTCTCGGAATTCCGAGCTTGCCCTTGCTCTTGAAGCCTTGATCTCACAACCTAGAGAGAGAGAGAGAGAGAGAGTTACATGAGAAAAGATGTGACAATTATGAAAGAAACCAGAAAATATATGAACAGTTTCAAAAAGTAATAAACAAGAGTGGCCCATGTTATTAAAAAACAAATGAGAGGAGAAATTGGGAGACTAAGTGCCCGTTCTTAAACAGGAGAAAGCAACATGGGACTTTTACTAGAAGAAAGAAAACTTCTTTGGACCATCTGGGTGAGACAGAGAACTGACCCTGCACCACACAAAAGAGAAGGTAGGAGGGGGACTCCCCCCCCCACCACATTTCTGGTAAGAGAGGGGCCGGGGTGTCCCAATCCACTGCTTTTCCACAAAACAAGCTAGAGAGAGACTGGATTTCTAAAGAGAGGTACAGGGTTGTCCTACCTAGTTGCCTTCCTGCAAGAGGGGCGCACATGCACACACACACAGTGAAGAAAAGGAAAATTACTCTGAACAAGAATAATGTACTTTAGATTTTACTAGAAAAGAAAAAACTTACCTTTGCCCCGGTGGATTGTATTGAGACAACGAAAGTTGAAGAAAACAATGGGCGACAACCAGGCAGCACAGAAGGGTCTTGGTGCCTTAGAAGCCCCAGGTCAGACATTCCTTGACAACAATATATGCATATATGTCCACTTCAGACACACATATATACATATATTTGTTTCATCTACATATATTTAGGTATTTATATTTATTATAACCGCCTATATATGCACATATATGTCCCTGAAAGTTGTTCAACTCATTAAAATCATTGAATCACATTTCACAATCGTAATAAATCAATATTCAATTCTCTCAACAGTGGCACAACATAAAGCAGCAACCATTGCAATGCTTTCTCAAAAAATAATAATAATAATAATATTCACTTAGTAATATGAGATTAATAAGTTAACTAAATCTAAAAAATATAATATTGGATAGTTACGTATCCATGAAGTTATAAAAGCACTCAGATATTTCATACTTGAAATGATATTTTGAGTCCACAACCTCATGTCAATAATTCATAGCTCGAATCTCCATACACATTTCAAAATCCAAAGTACCGATTTCTAAATCAGATGTAGTGAAAGTTATAAAAGCAAAATTATACAAAAGAATATTACAAAGAACTGATTCATCGATCTCATTAAAAAAAAATTAGACTTATTTTTATTTCTCAATCTTCTCAAAAACTTTTAATCGCCAAAAGTTTTCATTAATCCAAATTTTTTTAAAAAAAGCCTTCCCAAAAATACTTTCGTTTTTGGGTGGGGGGTTTAGGATACCCCATCATCCATCCTTTGCCTCTTAAGAGGGGGAAAGGATCAAAATGACCCTTGCCCGAGGGCATTTTCTGTCCTCTAGCACCCGTCTAGGTAGCCACCCAGGAAGGATCGCCTATGCCCAGGTGGAGCACCAGGGTAGCCTAGGTTTTTACTAGAAAAGATGAAACTTATGTTCACCCCAGTGGACCCCATTGAGACAACCAAAGTCGAAAAAAGTGCTGGGCGGTGCCCAGGCAGCACAAAAGGGGTCTAGGTGCATAGGTGCTAGTTAGGAGCCCATAGTTTGTGGCACTTTGACAGCAGTATATGCACATTTGTGCAATTCAAACACACCTATAAGCATCCTTATATTTGTTTCATCTACGAGTAAAGTATTTATATTTATTTTAACTATGCATTTATGCAAATATATGTGCCTGAAAGCTGCAAAACACATTGAAATCCTCCAATCACGTATCACAACTGTAATATATTAATTTCACTTAGTGATGAAAGATCAAGTTAATTAACAAAGAATAAAAGGCTAAAAGATATAATATTGGATATTTACACATCAATAAATTTATTGAAGCACCCAAATATTGAATAACTGAAATGAAATACAAGTCTACAACCTCAAGTTCAAAATTCATCTCCATACTCATTCCAATCTAAACTTCCAATTTCTAAACCACGATACAGTGAATGTCATAAATGTAAAATGACGCAAAAGAAATTTAGTAGAATTCAGTCTTCAATCTCATTAAAAAATGAGATTTATATGATTTCTCAAGCTTCTCAAAAAAAATTAATCTCAAAAAGATTTTATTAATCAAAGGTT